TTCTCGTTGATTGATCTTACTTAGTGCTTTATTTCCATAAAAGTTTATTTTCTGATACATCAAATATATTTATTGTATGGACATGCCTGGGGTATGAGGCATGACTTTTAATCTTGAATGGGGGCATGGGCATGCCCCAAAAAATGTTATTCTGCCTCCTCAATTCCTCTTCAATTTTACTCCTACTCCATTATGCATACATGGCATTGACAAAGGCCTGTCACGTGGCTATATGGAGGAATTGGCGCCCGAGCCGATCCGAAGATTTAAACGGTGGGTTCAAATCTGGTGGAGGTCCATTATGCTTGCTGGTGGTGCAATGGGTTGCTCTCTTCCATGTTGTCTACTGCCAACAGCTTACAAGAATGTCTGAATAGGGAGAATTCAACAAATATGATAGTGCGCAGCTGTCAACATAAAATAACGTAGTCGGAGTACTGAATTTTTAGGAGATTTTTGCACCGAAAAATTCTGAGACCGCCCCGCCATGTCGCTAGAATTTGTAGTAGATGAAATTCAGAGTTTCCGATAATGCAGGAGAATTTTATGTAGGAAAATTTAGAAAAAGATTTACTTATTCCAAGGGTTGTAAATTTTCGCGTCCTTAGTGTGCTATGGAGTAATCTTGTTGCGTGAATGACAGACCGGAAAGGCGCTCTTGTCTACAAAAATTTCAAGTAGGTTCCGTCACGTCGCTAGGAGTTGGAGAGTATGGCGACCGAGCATGTGTGAAAGCGATCACAAGACATTATCTTTTTCTAGTGCACATGTGCTTTAGTAGTGATTCTACAACTTTTCAAAATGCAAGAAGTAAAAAATGCAATACTCATGTAGCTACTTATGGCTGCATGAGTATTGCATTTGATTATACAACACTATGAGCATGAAAGATACAACTGCAATTTTTGCAGAGCATTTGTTTATAGAGTTTTATTCAGTTAAAAGCTTAAGAAACAGTCTGCTTCAAGCCTAACTCGTCGAACCTGCTCTCTGCAACTTGGCGATCATCTCTTTCAAGGAATTCTTCTCCAAACCCGTCGTCCCCTGTCACGGTGGTCCACCATGAGACCTTTTCAGTAGCTGATATAATAAAGAGTAGTATATACTCCTTGATATAGTTTAGAACAACTTGAGGGCAGACAAACCTATATATATATATATATATATATATATATATATTAATTACAAGATATTCCCTCTTTGAAACATTCCCAAACCAAAATAATAGCAAAGCAATGATATGATGCAATGATATCAGCTTGCTTTGCAATCAAATAATCTAGCATATTATTTGATGAACAAGTTAAGTTGTCTTCACACCCAACAAACTTTCACTTGAAAAAACACAGGTGTCATTTGCATGTTATTATTTCAATTTCTTTTAGGATCTCCTTTACGTCGAATAATATTCTGTAGTTCAGCAAAATTTTGACTAGTGATCAAGCCCAACAGAAGAAGTGCATAGCCTAAGTTTGTTCGCGATGACAATCTGAGTGAACATGTCCGCAGTATATATTGCACTTGCAATCTTAATCAACAATTCAACTTCATCTACCAATTCACGTATATATTAGTACTTCAACTGAATATGCTTTGTTCTTCAATAAAACACTAATTCATGTATATTTAACATAAAAAAATTCAGTAAAAAAAAGTTATTAAAACTATTTATTATTTTATTTTAAATTTAAAACATTTAAAACATAATGTTTTACACTTGAACTCTTTAACATAATAAAAATTTATTAAAAAAGTTGTTATTTCTATACAAATAAACTATGAACTATAAACTTTGTAAGAGCAAAAACTATTATTGCGGTGCAAACCTCATTTTGATCCGCTTTTTGAGAAATTTTAAATGCGTTCTGAGCCCTCTAAGCTCTTCCATTAGCATTTTACTTACCCGAGTAATTACTCGTTAAGTTGACAGTTTCGTTAATTGCGTTCGTGCGTGGCATTTGTTAACTTGTCGATAATTCGGTGAAGTTGACAGCTTCGTTAGTTGTCTTCTTGCGCTGCATTTGTTCATTGTCGTTAATTTGGTAAATTCTGAAATGAACATATTTCTTTGCTGCCATAGTACGAGCAATGTGCCATTTCTTGAACTTGTTTCATTTGTGAATACTAGTATGAGCAATGTGCCATTTCTTGAACTTGTTGCGTTTGTGAGTACTAGTATGAGATTTCTTGTGTTTTGATTTAGCAACAAGTGATGTTTGAGCGCATCATATTATTATAGGGTAATTATTTGGTTAATGGAATAAATAAAGTTAAAGTGTATTTTTTATTTATATTGGGTAATTACCCGATTAACGAGTTATTATAAAGGTAAAGTTTTTATTTTATTTTTATTGGATAATTGGGTAAAATAAAGGTAAAGTTATAAGTAAAGCATGATCAATGTATTAAGGGTAGGGATAAAATAAAGGCTGAGGACATTCTATTACTTGTTAAACATTTACCTTACATTTTCTGAGTGAGATTTTCTTTTAAGATATGTTTGAATTTTGTACCTATTTAATCTGCGCTTGTGTATTGGTTAGCATCTACATAAGCATATCTGCATAGAATCACTAGTTCATGGTGTGACCAAATTCAGGCTACAAGACAACTTTCATAATGTTCTGCCGCCAGAGCATATACCCTTTGGACCAGTACCAACATATGTTAAATGATCCCGTATGAGTTTCGTTTGAGTGCTTCATCAGCTTTCTTCAAGAGTCTGATAGGAGCAAGGTTTCTTTCTAATAAGATATTTCTCTATGCGGCAGTAACGATGGCATGAATTGAGATTAATTTTTGACAAGGATTCATCCTGGTAGAAAGTCTAGATTCCCAAGATCATGAACAAGTTGAATTGATCGACGTGACAATGAATTAAAGCTCCTCTTGTATACTTGAGCACACATGTCTGTCCGCTTTTAAGTCGCCTAATGAATTTGCTTGTATTTCTAATTTTAGATCCTCATAGACTGCAAAGATCTACTCATGGAAAATTTCAGCATCGAGCTTTTCAATTCACAAAGTTTTTGCTCTGATAGACAACATTATAAAAATTCATACAATATCAAATAGTGTATGACATTGAAATAAAATGTACATACTTTGAAATATTTGAAACATGCTACTTTTTAGATTGATTAATTAGCATAAAACCGATTTTTAATATAATAAAAATTTGAAATATAACTTTGAAATATTTGAAACACTATAAAATTTATTGAAAAAATAATAATAATAAAAAGTGAAATAAAATCTACATACTTTTGAATATATAAAACATAATGTTCCATAAATTTTTTATTTAATAAATTTATTTATAAATTATAAATTTTTCATAATCTGATTGTTTAACATAGTAGATATTCTTACAAAAAACTATAATTCATAAATATAACAAAATCTACATATTTTGAAATATTTGAAACAAAAGATGTCATAAATCGATTTTTAAAAATTAGAAGATTCCATAAAAAATTCAAGTGAAGTATATAATATAAATCTGATGTATGTATGTTGAAATATTTGAAAGGTTGGATTCCATATAAACAACTTCTTTAATATAAATTTAAAAATAAAAATAAAATCTAATTTAGATACTTTGAAATATTCGGAACATGATATTTAATGAATTATTTTTATAAATTTTGATATTTCGTAAAAAAATAAAAATAAAAATATCTCTTTATAATTTTTAAAGATTTGAAATATAGTATTTCATATTTTAAGTATTTAACTATATCAAATTTCTTAAAAAATTCATTGATTTATAAAATCAAAACATAAAACGTATGGTGTATAATATTTGGACCTTTACACTTTTGACACAATTAATTCACGCAAAGAATATAGTGCAATTTTATAATTATAAAAAATTTATCGATTTTTTTCGGAATATTTGAAATGAATTATATTATAGTACATTATTTTTCAACATAATAGATCACATATCCTATATTTTTACATCAATTTTGACATATATATATGCACTAGGAGAAATCTTATATTCGAATAGTATCTACATACTATTTTATCTAAAATCATCAGTCAATATATCATGCGCTTTATTTGTACACGTAGTTAATATTTTAAATCTATAAGGTTGTATATATATATATATATATTATTAAAACCATTAGATGCTTTTGTTTATTTGTTTGTCCATTAATTATTTTGATTTTTTGAAAAATTAGTTTTTCAAGTGTATATATGGTAAAATAAGAGAATTTTGATTATTACTATGCAAAAAATTAATAATTAATCAACATGTTTTTGAAAATTTATCATAATACTCAATGAAAGAAAATAGATGTTTTCAATCTAATTGAACTTTAATTTTTTCGGAGGATTTTCTTGCAACTATCAATATTTTATTCAATAACACTTATGATAGATTTGCTATGAAAGATACACAACTTCTAATCTTCCTCCTAGTATTGATTTTTCAAAAATTATATATTTTTTTAAAATAAATGTTAAAATATCTAATTTATGCTTCTAAATTGAGTATGTCAAATTTAAAAATATGATTCAAATAATAAATTCAATAAAAATAACATTGTATCTTGTGATCATTAGTAACCTTGGAGTTCTAAAGATAATTTCCCACAACAGACACGAATCACAGCAACAGCCTCAATTATCTAATATTCTCTGAATGTCTTGTCTTGCCACGGACTGAATCACAGATCTCACACTCGGACGTAATAAGTTCTATGTAACCACGCACAATATATGAGCCGCACCTGCAATTGACCACCGGTTGTAAGCGACATCCAGTACTTGAAGAAGGCACAACATGGAAAATAAGACCCTAGGACTAGTTTCAAATTCGAAACACATTGGCCGAGATAAAACTCGCTGGATAATTGAGACAAGAACACAGCGTACACCAACTGATTAAAGCTCTTGTAGAAAATGGGGGCTTCGTACAGTAGACCACGGATTGTGCCTGGTGCCATATCAATGTATCATGAACGAGGAAGCACGATGAAGTCGTCGCGCCCGCTGTTTGATTGATCGGCAGTTTAGAACTATCGGTTGGAGGATGATGATCATAGCGGCGTGTTAGCTGAATGCCTGATGGAACCCGTGACGCAAGTCCTGAGCGGTTGCAATCTACAACGACCTCCACGAGTCCCATTTTGCTCCATGATGGTGATCGATTGCACATTGCAAATATTTGCTCTAGTGTTCACTCCATTAATTTAGAGTGTGGAACCTACTTCGGACCTAAAGAAAGTGTGTTGTCGGATTGCTTGCCCACGAAGTAACCGATTCCTGTTAGATGAAAGTTTCGGAATCGGGGGAGATTCTGGATATATATAATGTTGTGGTCGTATTGCAAGGCATTTGATATACAAAAGATTGATTGAGTGAGCATGTTGGGGATTGAAGTTTGCTCGTTATTGTTTGAACTCGGAACTGCTAGTTGCATGTTCAACTTTTCAGTAAGTGTAAAGGAGGGTATTCCGCCATTGTACGATGGATTGCTATGAGGAGCCAATGGAGATGGTGTCCTTCGTTCAGACGATGAGGAAGAGCCCCAGGCCTAAAATGAAGGCGTCAAAAAACAGTCGTCCATCGGTAGCTGACAACATGTCCAGTAATGATGTGCCATTGCCATCTGATACTCAAACATTGAGTTCCTGTGAGACTGAAGTCAAGCAGCAACCGAAACAAGAATCTATAGAGGAGCCTAGAGACGATCCAACTATATGTGTGTTTTGTGATGACGGTGGAGACAATATTCTTAGGTATTTAGTTATATACTAAAACTGTTCTCAATAGTTTAACATAATTAAGAGGAAGTTATTGAGCATTTGAGGTCATCTCACCATATCTGTTTCCACTGAAACCTATCCTGAAACTTTCTTCAATTTATTACACAGCTGTGAAGGTATATGTCAGCGCCACTTTCATGCCCAGAAAGTTGACGATGAGATGGAATGTCAAACTCTCGGCTTTTCGTCCGAGATGATGAAGGTAATTTCTAGAACTCTGCAGGTGTACTTTCAACTTCCAATGTTCATCAACATCGACCGGTCTTTGCCTGGAGACTACAGAAGTTATTCAAACAATTAGATTAGATCTGAGTAGAAGAAAAAAATCTCCAGAAAATTTGAAGTTGAATCTTTCGCTTTTCTCAGAACTTGGACAGTGTCAGCTTCATATGTGAAAACTGTAAGCATCAAAAGCATCAATGCTTCATATGTGGTGAGCTGGGATCATCGAGCGACGAAAATCGAGAGGTAACGATCGGATTTCGAAAGACGGTATTCATGTAGATACTTTCCGCACGTAAATATAACTTCTTTGCAGTCGTTTTTGATTAGTTACTTCTTTTACTAAGCTTATAATATTTTATTTTTAATATAGAACAACAGCAATAAATCGGAACAGTATGCAGGGCCTTTGTGATGGTAGTGAGATTATATGAGCGTTTGTTTCCATGCAGGTGTACATGTGTCATGTTCAGTCATGCAAGAAATTCTACCATCTTCATTGTATGTTGAGGATTCGAGGCATCGCGCATGGAACTCACTATGTCAAACAGATCATGACGGGGACCATGAAGCTTTTCTGTCCGCGTCACAGATGTGATACATGCAAGATAGAAGACGTATTCGCGGGCAAGCTAGTCCAGTGCAGGCGCTGTCCAAGAGCATGGCATGCAGATTGCTTGAAAGAGTGAGTACATCCTAGGCCCTGAACTTCATGTTCATGGATATGTCTATTTTGATGGATGTCTAACTTTGTATCGTAGTATTTCTTTAGCTCTCAAACATCTCATATGCAAATTAAGAAACAATTGTTGCCATTTGGCTTCATATTATGATACGGTTTGTAGATCACACTCTGCAGTTTTTGCTGAGACGGCATTATCAGACGTGGCTACCAAAGGATTACGGATTGTTTGAGACCACCGACTCATTACATACTCGGCATGTCGCAAACTTCTCTGTGTTGCAGCTTTAAGAAATCAGGCGAACTTGAATCAACTCAAATATGGAAGCATGATCGATTTAAATACATCTACTGCAGGTAAAACCACAATTTCAAGGTTTATGTCTAAGCCTGATTCGCCAATTTTGGGATTGTGCTTAGACTTATAATAAGATGGATATTTCGAAATTGAAATCTTACTGGCATTTGCAGGAACCATGACATTCTTCAGGAGCTAAAAACCCCAAAACGAGATCATGTGAAGTTTCCTGATCCCGAGTAAAATGTTATTTGCAGCAAAATTTTGGAATTAAGATCAAAGCGGTCACAGCTGATCCCTCCTTACTATCTGAGGAAGTTCAAAATTAATAGTTCAGGTCCTTGTGATCTAAGGTTTGGTTTTAGACGTCATCAGAAACAGTTATCTCGATCAAATATTCAGTCTTCCTATTTGTCTTTCGTGCCGCCTCAGATTAAATCAAAGAACATTTATGATTACAATGATAGTCTATCGGTTTTGGTATTACGATAAAATTTTTTTCATATGAGGTAAAGCTAACATGTTACATCTTTACAGGAAAACATAAAACAACATCTATATTCTTAAACTTAAAATAAAGCAGGAAAAAAACTTCGGTATGTTCCAAACATACCGAAGACTAGTCGCATCGAACCTGTTTAGGGTGTAGAAAGCTTGTTTCAAAGTGGCTAATGGAGGTGTTGCGAGTCATGCATATTTGTAGAAGACACGAGTTGCTGCATAAAGCTGTACATTGTTTATGCTTTCACCTTTATTTTTATGAACCCTTTATAATGTGTTTCATTAGGTGAGACCATTCCTTTTAGGAAAAAATCATAACGTAGTTACTGATGTAACTTCTGTCCATGGGATTTTCTTTGGCAGTAACTTTGTCCATATAAATACCTTTTGAAGCAGCAGATAATTTTTTGCACATGGGGATTTCTATACAGTTTTAAAGCTATTGGTTTTTTAGAACAGTATAGCTTCTTCAATTTGATATCTATAGTCCTCATTTGTTGCTTCTCTGATCTCTCCTTTTCACCAATTTTTCATTTATCCTGTATTTTATTTAGGAAGATCTAGATCCCTCATTTGAACTGTATAGGCTTCCATTGAAATGTATGCTTCTCTAAGAGCATCAAATGAAGCCTATAACGATTTCTAGCTCTGATCTCTGATCTATCTCTAATATAGGTTGTGAGAAATATTTTTGAGCAGCTAATTCGGACCAATACTAAGACAGATTGGAGGAGCCTTTAGACATGTCCTTACCTCTCAACTAGAAAACTGTGTGCGTAAACTCTGAATTGAATCAGTGGATGAGCACATAACGTCGATATACACGTTATGTCATTTAATCATAGTGAAAGACTAGGATTCTAAGAGGGGGAGTATCATTTCAGTAATAAGAACTGTGTTATCCATGGGAATCTTCATTTCTGATTCTTTTGTTAGACCATGTGAATAGTATGTAATTAAAGAATGTGTGCTTGGATTGCAAATTGACTATTATTTACACACTGAATTATACTGAGGTGAATATTATTTCAGGTGTTTACATATCTAACACTATATAACCTGTGAGTTTCAGTTATACACTAAATTTCATAGACTTTATACTTAAACGCATGATCAATCTGAAAGAAATTCCATCTCATAGACAAATTTTCTTTGACACACAAAACGAAATCAAATATATCCATAGTTTGAGGCTGGACTACAAAAATATTTATTCTGTCGTAACGCAGGAGTACATTATTGAGCCAATTTCATATCACGGTAGCTATACAGTGCGCTGATGACGTACTTAAAATAATTTTTGTGATAGGAATAGTTTAAAATTTTTGCATTCAGAGAAAACATCATTCTGAAGTTTTCAGTAAGATTTTATATTTCGAAGATTTTCATTTGAGCCAATCCAATGTCAAGAGAACATCATGCGTATCGTGGACTGTTCTACACGATAAAAAATGCAAAATAAAAGATGAGAAAAAAACAAAACATAAACGATATAGAAAAACTCGCAAGATTGAACAAGAATTTTCTCATTGAATATCGAGACTTGGAGTTATCATGCAAAGAATGTGGACAAATATAACAGGAGTGTACTGGCAGAATAAAAAAATTGTCAGTCTCATTTATGTTTCAGGCTTACGCGAGTGTCGAGTCTCAGAAAACAAATAGTGCGGAGAACGAGGTACGCAATATAAGTCAAGACCTTCGAAGTTGGGGGCAATTTGTCAATATGGACTGTATGTTCTGACATGAGAAGGACGACACATGATCGGGAAGTGAACGCTGTAAAGTCCATGCCCGTTCTTCACACGACTGATTTTTGGCTCTACAGTATATGATCCAGCAGAGAGTATATAAAGTTTCAGAATGACGTTATACAGACTGCAGTCTCAAGTCCGTCCGATAAGATACCAAATTGATAAATACAGGTGCATGCAAAATAATTCTGCCCATGGAGCGAGCAGTTCAGACTTTTAGTCAAGTGAATTCATGAGGGAGTAGTATTCGCGTGTTACGAGACTCGGGTCAACGACAGTCATTTTCAAACAGCAGTCTCAACAGAATTTCAGGAAACCTACTGGATATGAAACTGACCTTTATTTTTTTTTACTTCTTTGAACAATTCAATGAAATAGACTTCGTTTAGAGTCTAGACCAACTGGACTCCCGACTGGTTATAATGCCCTGCTTGACTGTATAGCTTTGGAAAATGTAACTTGACTACTACCATATCTGAGCTATCAATTGCTATAGTATTGTGCTCCTTAAGAAGTTACAGAAACATGCAGTCTACCATGTTTGCTTCGCTGATTGTGAAGGTCATTGCACAGAGTCGACCGTGCTTGTTCTACCACAGACTTAATATGTTCATCAGTTCCTCTAACTTATTATAAGTACTAGTATAATTTTGTCAAGAATCTATAATGAGTGAATAATGATAAGGAAGTAAACTGACGGTTGGCAAACTTTTCACGGTGAGATCTTCGGAAGTTATGAAAAATGGATGTACGAAAAACACGAGGCAAGATCGAGGGCCACATGACACAAGCAAGGGACACATGGCAAGAATGAATGATGATAACACTACTTTCATTTGTGAGATATCCGCAATCAATGCACAACCTCACAGTAATTGTTCTCATTCTTCTTGAAGCATTGGACTATGTGATTGATTCTCTCCTATCAAAGGAAAGCTTATTTGAGTGCCCATGTATAATAGCAAATAACCACACATTCAAAAGCAGATAAATATCACGGTGACGTTTTAGAAGCAGTTATCTCCTTTTGTGTAAAGGAAGACTTTGTGGAACGTGTCTTGCATCTGTTGGAGTGACTGAGAGTAGCAGAAGATTCCTTCAGAAATGACCGAATGATGCGGTGGTTTTGGTACAACTTGACACAGGAATCCGAGGCTCCATCAAGGAGAGGTTTTGGGACGATCAAGGTAGGGGGAGGGTAGCTGCGAAATAGCGCAAGAGGGGACAAGAAAAGACTAACTAGCGAATTGGGCCATTCTATGGATTTGAACTGAAAATTCTTTTGGGCGAACGATTGCAGGGTGAAGGGTGAAGTGTTTAGAAAACATATAGCGCTGTGCAGCAATTGAAAGAGGTTTTGGCTGTGGATAAAAATCTTATGTGGAGATATTACCCGTTCTGCTGTGCGTTAATTAGAAATACAATAATCTATCAGCCTCATTTTCTCGTCTCAGTGCAATAATGACTCTTTTGGGTCCCTAGCCAATTCATGTGAAATATTTGAGTCTCATGTTTTACTCTAATTATGATATCTGGTACGACACTTCTGAAATAAAGTGCTAGAAAATAAGAAAACATGAATAACCCATTGAGTGAAAGGAGAAGGCCAGATGACTATATACAATATGATGATCATGGTACTCGAGCTTTTTCAGTCCATGAGTGCGTGGAAAGGAGAATGCAGTGGCAACAAGTATCAAGTTGATGATTGAAATCAATGCAGTACAGTAGTTGTAGGGTATGGAAATGGTAACGACAATGGAGAAGAGGTTAAGCGAAGTAGGAGATTTATGATCTAGCTGAGTGATAATAGCACGGTTTTAGTACATAGTTGGATTCGTAAGATAATTTAGTTATCATAGATTTGCTATTGATAATTTTCAATCGAAATATTGAAATTAGAACTGAGATTATTCTCTAAACACGTTAAAAAATTAAAAATGACAGGTTCGGATATATGAGGATTAGAATACACAAGTGTCTGCATATTGCCCTTATAATACAATGAAATTTTTTTATGAGGATTAAAGTACATGAATTTATTATCTTGTGATAACATAAGAGTTATGATATTCTTTGAAAAATCTAAGAAAATATTACTAAAAAATTTTTGAGAGTACACTTTTTGAAAAGATCTAACCAAAGACTCATGCATGTTAAGATTTCATCAATCACAATGTAGTAGTGATCTGGAGGCATATTTGCAAAAAAATCCAATATTGATAAATATTTCTATAACGAGTTAATTTTTAAGAAAAATGTGTACCATACTCATTGGTTTGGGTTTACAGTGGAAAACAGAATTTTAATACAGAGATATTTAAATAATTTTTAGTTAATTTGTCTATCAACTAATCTAAAATGTCCCGTTGACACTATTTCTCTAGCAAGTTTGCAGCTTATTAATCTTGGCTCAATCATGGAGAATTAACTATAAGTTTTTTTACTTGTTTTTTCTAACAACATTGAGATCACCTCTTACTTTGATTCATTTATTAAATATCCATTAGTCAAGTATGTGGATATCATACTATTTTATATGTAACAGATGTTCAGGTGTTTGGTGACTCATTTAGGATTCAAAAGCTAGCTACCTATAATGTTAATTTTTTGATGTCACACATAACGTTGGATATTTGATGTGGAAGGATCCTTGATGAGTTTGGTTAAAGAGGATAGGTAATCATGTTCATTGAGCGGAGATTGTATGAATGGCAACTTTGGTCTTCAACTAGGGGCTGTAGAATGATCAACTTTTTGTTCCTCTAACTTTGAATTATATGGATTTTAACATAGCAGTGAGAGAATAAGTGTCATTTTTTCAACAGTTTGATATGTATTATTTTTGATCAAATTTTCTATTGCTTTACAAATTAGTAGGCACATTACAGAACAATTATCAGTGTTGATGGTTCTTCCTTCGCTCAGATCGTTTGTATAACTGTTGACTTAATTAGGTTGACGTCTTAGTGGCTCATGCACATTTCCGCGATGTGATGTTATTAGAGACTAAGACGTGTTACTTTTTGGTTTCATTGTACATCTCGATGGACTCTTCCCGTAGTTTTGTTAATTACCCCGCCCCCTTATTTAGACTCCAATACATTTTGTCACATATAGTGAAAATTTTGTCCTAACGCTTGTACAATCTCTCGGAGTGGAGCAATGCCCGATTCAGTGACCCTCCACAAGCAGCAAGTACAACCGTCGTATAGCATTACCTTTCTCCTCGTTCGCTCTCTGCATATTAATAATCGTCTTAATGTGGAAGGCAGTTCGTCTCAATTGACTGCGTTCCCCCGCCAACAGCTGCCACGATCGGCCCGCGACATCGTTCCAGCATCCCTTCCAGTCTAACTATAATTAGAAGAGCCACATTTGGCGGCAGTGGCAGCGGCGCTTCTGGCAGGCAGTGACGTCGCTCACCGCGATCGAATCGTCATAGAGCAGCAGCTAAAGCGAACATGAGAGGCTGAAATGTAGGGGAATGTGCGTGCTTCCTATTGGCACAATTCCGGTCTTCGGTGTCGACATCGAAGAAAAGCACTGCAAGTGCCATTATTGACTTTGCTAGTTCTTGGCCTGTTGTCCACTGGATGGAATACTTGACAAAAGCGGCATGATAAAAGACGCAAGTGTGTCTTTGAAAATATATTCTGAACCCCGAGTTCTTTCGTCACGTTCAAAGTTTGACATATTTTGATTCCTATCCTTCGCTATACTATGGAACAATTTCATTTAGCCAATGATGGTTTTAATATACTATTAAATTTCAGACAACAAGGATGATTTCCGTAGGCTTCCGTAGAGGTAGAAGCAAGTATTACAATTACATACAGACTCACTCTGCATCGGAGAGTCAAGAATCAGAATCTAGCGTGGAATGCTGGGATGTCGTACCAGTTCGATGAATATGCGTATCGAGAATCACTTGTTTATTTGTTCCGAACGCGAGGAGGAGTTCGGATCATCCAGCGCACGGACGGACGAAGCTGAGCGGCAACATTCTCACGGTGGGCCCTCGGAGAGTGACGTGCGAGTCTCGAGGTTTCGAGCCATCGACGGCAGCGTCACGGGACTAGCAGCCGGCAGAAGGCCACCCGTGCGGCACTCCGGTAAGCAAACAAACAATAGTCCGACCTCTGGCACTAGAGGCCGAGTATTCGGTCCCTGTCCCGTCAAGCGAATCTACGCCCCACTCTCATCTTCTATTCTGAGCCGTCGCTCGGAGGATCAGAGACCCGCGCAGGGACAGGACGCAAGGGATCGGGAGGATATACTCGCAGATATTCTCCTTTACCGTAACCCCCGGCCCTATTCGTGAGTTCATCTTGTCTGAAAGTCTCCCATTTCTGTCGCTTTCTCTGAGCAGTTATTTCATGTGCGCTTCCTGTTCCTCGACCAACTTTGGAAGACCGCCAGTTCCCTGAGAAGCGTCGCCAAGTTAGCCGATCTCGCACCGGCCCCACTTGAATCTAGAGGCCACCCGCAACTGTGTGCCAATCTTGCCGAATTTAGCCTCGGCGGTGTCGACCGAGCGTACTACGTTATGTGGCACGCCGTCGGCGCACTTTTTGTTACCACGTCGCTTCGGGTACCGGGTTTTCGACGGAGAGGTACTTCCCGGGGCGGATGACGGAGCTGGAGTCGAAGAGTAGCATGAGGCTAGAAATCCGGGAAGTCAACCGTCAGCGAAGGAACTGCGAGCGGGACCGACCGTCGCCCGTGAGCCCAGACTTTGCGCCCGCTTTGGCAGCTGCTTTTTGGTGCTTTCGTCGTGTATTAGTGAAGGGTCGCATGCGATGGTGCGATCCGCAGCTGTGAGGGTGAATTGTCAATGAATCGGCGGGTTTCGTAACACTGACCGGGGATTTTGTTTTTTCTCGGCTGGCTGATCTCATCAGATTTCCTCGGGACTCCTGTAGAGGATGATTCTTTGCTGCATACCGGGGGATGCATCGGATCTGATACGAGTGGAACAGATGCAATGCTCGGTTCGATCTCGGGCTCGCAATCTTATTCAGCGTGGGAGGCGGATTCCGTTAAAGTGACTGTGGGCTTCGGTGAGTGCCACATCGGGTGCAGCTTTTACCGAAGACTTGGCTTGCAGTTTACCCCCTCGGTGGATTCGATGAGCATCCGGTGGAGGTGGGGAATGCTTGGAGTTATTGTAGAGAAATAGTTTGCACGTGTCGGGCTCGAGGACAATCGGAGATAGGCTCGTGACATCCACGCGGGGGAGTTGCTGAACGCGAAAGTACTGATCTGAAGCAGGTCGTGTCCGTGGCTCAGTTGGCGCGAGGACAAGGAATATGTAAGGGCAGAGGGGATGAGCCAAAGCAAGTTTCTGATTCGTCCTGGCCCAGTGGAAGCTCCGGTCCGGTCCGGTCGTTAAAGTCGCGCAGCAGTCGAAACATTGGAGAGATCATGACTAGTACTCCTTTGATTTGCACAGGCGCGCATTCTCGTCATCTCAAAAGTATGCGTTCTGGAGATTTCGTGGATTGATAGGAACACTCGAGCAATGCGATCCTCCACCCATAGACCTGGACGCGCTTCTTCTGGTTTAGTTCTCGTCGGGAGCTCTTGAAATCGGGTCCACCGTGCGCTCCGGAGTAGTACGCCAGATAGAGAAAGAAGGTCACGCGTTTGGAGTGTTGAACTCAGGGAATGGCACGCTTGGTTTGAGGAAGCTACTCTGCAGGTGTAATCGGCACGAGGAAGAAGAGGAGGCGCAGCGCGCTAGGTTTTTTCCTTCGGGCGACGGCTGCAGAGGTTTCTACGGACAGAACAGAAAATCATAAAGTTTCGACTTCGCAAATTTGGGAACGTAGGAGGAGCTGATTGTATGGGATTAAGAACATTCGATCGTGACAATCTAGAGTGGCCGACGCGTCAACCACGGCTCACATCGAGCGACAGTATAGCGACGTTTAGCACAGCTTTTGGAAGTCTCTGCCAGATGGTACTAGCCAGGACTTCTCTTGACCTCCATGACTCGAAAAGCAGGCAAAGAAGTCAGTGAATTTGGTCGTGTGCCACTACGTCTATCTATCGAATCGTTGTGCAATAGATATTCGTTCGACGCGTTCGCTCTCAACAAACTTGACGACATCTCAATTTTCTTCGCAGTGTGCACTGAATTATAGGTGATTGATTTGAGTGCTTATTTTATTTGGATAGGGTAGCTCTGTCAAGCATTTTGTATTCGTTGCCTGTCGTGCGCTTTCTCGAGGGTAGTTCGACGTGATGGCGAGTCTCCTCTTCGAAAGACTGATCGATCAGTATTAACCTTTCCTTGTTCTCGGCTTCGATTGCTTGTTCAATAATAATACTGATCGAGGAGGCTTGAATTTTGGCAACAGGATCCGTCGACATGCGGTAAATTATCTTTGAATTACTGAAGAGGTGGACGAGATTGCGGGTCTACAGCTTCTGAAGCTCTCGAACTCGGATGACATTAGAGTCATGGGATGGCGCAAGAAAGACTCGCAACCAGTGCCGTTCCGTCGAGAAACTAGCATTATGCCTCAAAGAAAACAAGTAAGTGATTTCTGCTAGCAATTTTCATCATATATTCCTTCTCGAGTAAAATTATATTGAATGGTTTAGATTTCAGCTCGTCGTGCAAACGCGAGCGTCGAAGATTTGCTTCTATTTCAGTTTTGGCTTTCCTGACCTGTGGGGTATATGAAGAAGGTTTCTGATTCCTGGACTTGAATCTGGACTGTCAAAATGAGGGGAAAGATTCTGGTCGAACTTTCAGAGATGTCTTCGTTTTCGCCGCATATTGGTGGACTTCTGATCATGTTTGACAGTTGTCTTCACTTCATCTCACTATTCTGTTCATCTCTTCTACCTTCCTCTCCGTCAACCCCTTACATTGCCAATGGCTGTAAACGGCGGAGGACAATTGTTTTTTACTGTATCGATTTTGTATGTCCTTGAGCTCAAACGTTCAGACAATGAACGTCGGGCGGTGCGAGAGTCAGTGCACAACAGAAATCAATGAGCTTTTGTCGTTCCGCTGCGACTCTGAAGCCGCCTGCGCTGAATCTCAGAATCTCTCGGTCAAGGAAGTCCATGAGGCTTGCAAATACCTTCTGAGGGCGGTTTGTTCGTCCCGAGTCGCTCAAGCGTCTGGCCGGCGACTCAGTTCTCGTGTTTGACTGTCTAGCTCGGAATCTCTAGCCTTCCCGTAGGTGCCTCAAATTTCTTCCACGGTCGATCTACAAAAAATTCCTGATACTTATGATTTTGGCCTCGTGGCTCTATCCTCATCTACTCACTAGAATTTCCCTCCTCGGCCCATTTCATCTCCACCTTGGAATTTAGAATTCTCCCTTCAGATACTGCAATGGCAGGTGCATATGGGCCTAGCGCACGACAGGCGCCCAAGATTCGAGGCCGTGGGAAACAAGTGGACACACGCACGGTGGAATACCGCGATCATGTCACACGTCGAGATGGTCAACGGTCAAAACCTGCGCTTTCCGCTATTTCGGGATTTTTGACTATCTCGCCAGAGCGCGGATTGCTGCGTTTTCGCTGTCGTAGATCCAGGGAACAAGGGTCCTCGAGCCAGAAGTGTCGAAAGTAACTTTGCAGAAACTCTCGTCGATGAATTCCCTCTGTCATGATAGTGGCCTTGACTTCGCGTCCGCAGTCATCTTCCACACCGGGCCGTTCTTCTGCCAGCAACGTCCGATGAGCGACCCCGTGCGTCAACCTATGAATTCACCGCCTCCGTGACGTGGCGAGACGGAAGCGGACGTGGCAAGGTGGTCCGAAAGTCCTCTCATGCCACGAAAGTCCGTGCAGCTATGTCCAGGCGGACGTCAGCGTCCCTAATCGCTTTGTGTCAGTGGGCGACCTGGGGAGTCTTCTGGGTCCCTGGGCCTCCGTCAAACTCCGTTTCTTGCCTGTCGTCAACTGACGGAACAAAACTCGTAGCGTCTCCAGAGCTTACGAGACCCAGACTAGAAAACAGCGCCCGGGGGATGGATGAGACATCCTCCATCCTCCATCCTCCGTTACCGATTGCGGAGCAGGACGCTGGCTTCGAGATGTCCACGTTGAACTCGCCGTGGTGGTGGACGTGGTAGAGCTTGCAGTTCACCGTACACTGTGTGGTCGGACGGAACTTGTAATTGCTGACTGTCCCGTCGCAGTCGGGCGGAGTGTTCCTGTATGGAACAACGACGACCGAACGAATTGGTTCTCGTTCTGTATCTACGAGTCGTCGAAGGAGATGACTAACCGAACGTGACGGCGCGTTTTGTTTTGAATGATCACCAAAATAACCTTCGACATCTGACGAATTTGCGCGGTGCAATTACATGTTCGTTTTGTTCGATCGAAGGGAGGGACGGGGGCCAAGATGCGTAATGTAAATTTCTGCTCGTGGTGTAGACTCGTCAACCATTTGTGGGGTGTATATATCGTCTGTAGTTTTCGTGGCATGTGGGCAATTCTGAGAATTATTTTGGTCTGAAGTGGATGCTACGTTCGTATGTTTTGAGCATTGCTGGGCCGCGGAGAAGAGCTGTCAGTGGAGAGCGGTGTTTGGAATTCTTCAGTTGTGAGTTTGGTTCGAGGAATTCTCGTGTTCAGATTTTGGGCTGAGCCAGTTTATTGTACGCTTTGCAGATCGAAAGAAGTCCCAGCGCGATATTTAAGTTAGTATGCTATACGCTGTTCGATGTTTCTCCTGCCAGCGCATTCTTGGACAGTTCCGGAGATGCGATCAGGGGATTACCAGCGCTGACTCCTTCGAAGGTGAGTCTTGAGAACTGTACATCTTTTTCGCTGGGCTTTACTGCCTGTTCTAGTGGAAAAACTGTCTCTAAGCCGTTCTTGAATTTCTCTGTTTGCAGAAACATTCTCGCGACCCCTCGCAAAAACATTTAAGATATTCCAGTAGTCTTCCTGTCCAACGCTTGTCAGAGACCCAGCAGAAGCTTGGATGGTCGAATAGTCTTCATGTCCAGCGGTCATCGAGCTCAGACTCGGACGATTCTAGAGGTGATTGGAATCTTTCATTTTTGCTTCAAAGGAAATAATTGCATCACCTTTTTCCAGACTTGTAAACTGCACAATCAGCGAGTACAGGACTCTGTTTTCTAAACATACAAGGAACCCATATATGTTGTGTTACCGTAAAACGCCATAGTGTTTAATTAGTTACATATTCCGTGACACTCCTTTTCTTGTACTTCAGAGTTCAGGCGGACGTAGTAATCGCCTTGATCTCACCGATACATTTCCTTTACGACTGTTTTCTATAACTTGCATATTTGGAATTGACTTTTGCGTTTTTAATAATCGAAAGGATGCAGAGCCGTTCTGATTTTTACTTTTTGTAAATCTGCAGTGGAAAAACACACAAGCAACTCCGACTCTGGTGCTGGATCTCCAATACATGGCGGGGGAAAGCTTTTCAAGGTCTTCAGACGGAAATCGTCGAAGTCAAAAATTGACATACATGTGGCAAGCCAATCCAACCTGTCCAGTCCAGATCGGTCAAATGGGGACATAGATTACAATGGCGACATATCATCAAATTCTTTGTTCGAGATACAAGTCGAACGAAGTGCAGATATAAACAGGAATTATAATGACGAAGAAAACTTTTCAGATCCTCAGTTGGTGCAGCGGCTTGCTTCGGAGGTTGTACTGTTGAGGAAGAGGTTGGATGAAGGGGAGCAAGAAGTGAAGAAGCTGAAAGACGAGGTACAATTTTTCTTGTTCTTCTTTTTGTTCTTCTTTTGTTTCAGAGTTTTCGCAGAATATAGTATATAGTTACTACGACACCAAAACGTGGTAGTCACTATCTTACGGCACTGAAGCCTAATTTAACTTGATTCCAAGTCGGACTCTGGAATTAACCACTGTGACAGACTTTCCTCCTATCCCCAGTTTGTTTACATCGTCAAACACGTCCGTTTTGAGTATCTAAGGTTGATTCTACTGTCAATGATGTTCTACTCACTCTATGTACTCCACACCTTATGAAGAGACAGCCTCCATGTTTTTGTCGGTTATTCCTGGTTCTGATGGACATCAACTTCGAGATTAGAACTCACAGACTGTCCCGAGGGGATGTGCTCTCATAAATTTTAACGGATACCATCCCACGAGTTTCACCAAATTTAGACACAAGAAAACAAGATCAGTTAAACCCTTTCATAGCATAATCATTATAGTCTAGCGACAGAAAATCGTCGCAAAAATTGAAGAAAAGGTACAAAAATCAAGCCTATTTGTAGGTTATAAGGGCTCGGTGTGGATTTTCCACCTGTTTGTGTCTTTGGTTTATGACCTCTCAAAGAAATAAAGGTTGATATATCAGTACTGGATTCCAGTATTCTCTGAGTTCTCCTTCTTAGAACTAAAATGTTAATAAGTATGTGAAATAGTAGCTTGTGATGAATAGTCATAAACGTCCGGTTTGAGTTGCATATCCTACACTTTTTCTGATGAAGACATCCTTTATTAGAGTGTCTATATTCTGCTCCAAGCACGAGTTGTTACTAGCCGTTTATGTTGTCTTAAACTCACAATATCATCGTTTGCCAGTTCCTTGATTGAAGTATTGTCCTCTAAACAAACACAATTAAGTAATGACTTGAAAGCTTTCAGTGTATCCATTCCATTATCATGTTCCTTGATTTTAGCTTTAGACTTAAAAATTTGATTGAAGTTGTTGCTGTTCATGTTGGTAATACTTAAACGGAGTTTTTCCCGATTAAGTTAAGGAAGAAATTGACGTCCATTTGGGTTTGATTCAGGTATCTTCTTTACGTTCAAGCTCTGCCAGCAGTCAGGTGGAGTCTCCAAGGAGTGATATGGATAGAGTCATGATCTTTCCTGAAAGCTTAGCTTTCGATAAATATGAAGATTCGAGGAGAGCGAGGTCACAGCCTGGGAGCTCAAGTACGTCTACCTCAGATAAATACGATGGTGATTCCAAAAAATACATGGAATTCTGCACATCAGATCAAGGCCAGCTTGTCAAACTGGTTCACGAAGAACATCCAAGGTTTGTCTTCCTCTCGTCAGGATTTTTATCTCTTCTAGATATGTGCGTTTGAAAGAGGGCTGTTGAATAGCTGAGGTTTAGGAATGAGATCTCTCAATAGATAACTCTATTAAATTCTCCCCAACGGGCGGAAGGAGAATGTTCAAGAAATATATATCTTGATGTAGTACTGGGATGTGTGAATCTGTCACTGTTTCAGGTCAAGAGTCAGAACTCCTCAAGTATCCGATGACGAGGAGAGCGTAGCCAGCTCTGAGAATGACGTGATTTTGGTGAGGAGGTCCTCTTTATCTGCGGAAGATTTAGACCACTACACATCACAGATCGTGTTTGAGAACCAAATGAATATGTTTCTGTCGGATGCTACAGCTGCTCTTGGCAAACGTGGATTCCAGGAAAATTACGTGCCAAAATTTCAATTTTTCGATAGCCATTTGCCTGAAGGTGTTGAGCGAAAGTCTATCGAAGAAACTGAGGAGGAAGCTCGGAATGCTGGAATGGAAGTCAATGATGATAGTCGTGGGGTCGACTCCAAGCTTTCTTTAGAGCTGGTGCAAACTGGTGTCACTGGTAGTCATAAACCACACGTGCAGTCTTTGGGAATCACTGATGAAAAAGTTAGCAATAACGGTACTTCGGTGGTCCTCGTGGATGAGGAGCACGGGGGACTGAGTGCTGAGAGAACTGACTCCACGGAGCTGCGAGCGGATTCAGAGTGGTCGTCTCGGGAGTTCGATGACCATGTTACCCCGCAGAAAAAGAAGGGTATGAGCATCATGGAGTTCGGAGTTCCTGCTGACCCAGAGATTGCTGAAAGACGCCGACAAGTACAACTCCGCTTCCATGACGTGGAAGAGAAGCTCATGAAGATTCTTCGCAGTCCGAGGAGAGACTACTCATCACGGTCCACGAGTTACAGCTCCAGTTCAGCTTCAAGTTCTGGAACCTCATCTCCTCAGAGTCTGGAAAGTGGGTCGCCACTCGGATCCTTCAGAGATTACGAGCACACTTCGGACAAATTAGGTGACATTTGTGACAAGGACTGTTACGGAGTCTGCTGTTTTCCCTCTGAGGAAATTGTCCCCGCTGAAAAATCCGATGTGCAGGCGAGTCGGAAGAATCCTGTCAGAGATCTTGATCTGGAACTTTCCTCTCCCAGGGACGTCTTGTTTAGCAACTTGAAATCAAACTCATTAGCGAAAACGCGCTCGCTTCCTTCGATCAGATCTGAAATTTGGGAAGAAGAACCGGCCATGAGTTTCAGTGGAACCCCTGAGGTTTATTTTCATCCAGATCTCTCCAAAGACCTTACGCTCAGCGTCTTGGCTGATTACCAGCAGCAGATAGATTGTGCAGCAGCAGAAGAAATTTCATCTGGAGGAGATCTCTACAGGTACGAGGGCAAGTCTGCTGAAACGGGTGTTGAAGAGAGTGTTGTTGCTCCAGTTCCGGATGAACATGCTGTTGTGGCTTATCCAGTGCAGCAAAGTTCATCTGGCGACATGTATGGTGCTGATCACGGGAGTTTGAATGGAGCTCGGCGTACCCGACGTACGAGATTTGGTGAGGAGGCAGCAAGGTTGGCTTTGCAAAGATCATCCAGTGACGTTCCAGGAGGGTCTCGTTATGCTCATACTTATCCAAAGTAAGTGATGTAGCCGTCAAAAGAGCCCGAGTTGACGTCGTTCATGCAAAGTTCCCGAGGCAACTGTGAGTCAGTCGGAAGGGGATGAGCAATAAGGGGTACATTGAGAAATGTACTCATGATCTCACCATCACGTCTTCTGATTCACTTGCGTGTGTTCAGAAGGCTGAGGTAATGAATTTTCCATGATTTATCCGAGACCATATTGGAATTTGTACATAGGATGAGCCATAAGCCAGGTCAGAGCTTGCGAAACTCAGTACTAGCCAGGTAAGCAATTGTAGATTAAACAGGACCTATTATCAGGCTTTTTACAGGCGCCCTTAAGACTGCTTAGCCCCAGTAATTGATAGAACTAGAGAGACAGATATTAGAGGTTCTCGATGCACAAAGTTAACATCTCCACAACGAGGACAGGAAGCAGTCAGAGTGGCGGTCCATGGAAGTCCCATGCAGACAAAACTGTATCAAATGGAGCTTATACAAGATAAGATAGATGCACTGCAGGGCGAATACAGTATCTACGAGCGTGTCGAAGGCCGCGAACTACTAGCATGTAAGCAATCACCTTGGAAGTTTAGGGGAATGAAACGAAGTGGACCGTTTTGTGAATGGGTTACAAGAGTGCTGTACTTAAGAGTCTCAGGCACATCGATTCCATCATCCCACATCCATGTAACACTAGAAGTCGTCGGTATAATTTACAGATACCACAGTCCAGAGTCATCTCTATCGAAGTTTTTGTAGACTACTTCGTGTGTAGTATAGTTCGATGAACATGTACGTTATTTAAAGAGATTAGGAGGTTAGTTTGATACTTCAGCTCCCCGAGTACAAGCTAGCTGTCAATTTTGTTGTAATTCCGCTGGCAGAACGACCAGCTTTTAAAAACTCAGTTCCTAGAGGTGTGGGGTGGTTGGGAGTCGCAGCGGGTGCAAGTCATGTATGTACTACCTGCTTTTCAGAATAAAAGACAGAAAAGGTCGTACTTTTTTGTGAAAGCCGTCTCGATTTCATTTATAAAGTGCGTAACGATTTTAGTACAGCCTCTGCAAACTGCAACTGTTAGGAATTTCAAAGTTTGACAGCTTTGTTCTGCGACTTGTCCAAAACACTAGCTTCTGAAGCAAATCGACCTATCAAAGCAGTTTAGAGGGGATACGCCCATCAAGACTCTTTTTTCCTCTTCGACCTTGAGTCTGATGTCGATGTTCAGATTGACTAACTTAGTAAGAACTAAAAGAGCTAAACTTGAGATTTGAACCTCCTCCTGGATAAGATAGCTGGAAACTTATGATATAACTAGTTAAGCCTTTGAAGAGAACCCTACGAACGGAAACTATGGAAAATGTAATATTTTCTACCATATTCGAAGGTTTGATGAAGCGCGAAGTGGCCCTTATCAGGGAACAGCTAAGTTAATTTTACATGGTGTCAAAATGATAGACTATTTACATCGGCTAGGAAATGGAATGTTTCTTGGAAATTTTTTGTAAGAAACGGCAATTCGACGATGCCATCTTCATGTTGTGAAGGAAATGATGAAGAACAAGTCCAATGCGCACTACGAGAAGGAAATCAGAAACACAGTACAGGGTTGGATGAAGGAAGAATTCAAGGAGTGCCCCATGTACAAGGACGTCTGCAGCTACCGATTCTGACCCATATTCATCTTCCAGCGCTATGCCTGATACTGAACCTTATTCTGAGCTCATAAGGTGCCAATTCATCCATAACGGACGCTTATTCATCAATTTACTGACCCGTAGCCTAGTTTGAGGCGGTTAATAAGCTCGTCATGTGAAACACTGCCGAAAAACTCATACGGCAGTTAGATAGCTTTATATATACATATATATATATAAATAAATAAATAAATATAAATATAAGTACAGATGGCACTTGGTGCGAAGGGTTCAGTAGCACAGCTTGCAACCGATTTTGGATAATCTATTGTAGATTGGGTTCGACTCTTGCCTGGACCTATCCCTTTTAATAGTTTAAGCTTTTGGATTATTTGCATGTTGCAATTGAACATAATGGAATCTTCGGAGAAACTGGATGCCCTGTGAGAGTTCAGAATTTAGGTTAGACTTTCTATCTTCGAGTAACAATATTATGTCTACAATATTCGAATATGGAAATGGTTAAGAAATATCCAAAATTGGTTGCGGTCAAGTCCAAGCATTAAACAAGATACAGTGTCACCACATATTAAATTATTAAACCCAAGCTAGAGGGTTCCATCCGACAACATTTTGCTTCCACATGCAACAGGTTTTCCACTATTATACCCACATATCATCAGCCAAGCTTCAAGATTGTAACTTAGATTTGAAGTAGGCTTGAAAAGTCTTGTTTTGAACAATTCGGTCTTTTCGAATTTCAGAGTTCTAGAGTAGTTGTGCCGTCTGCAGTGGTACATTAATTTGTAAAAAAACATAATCTGACGATATCATGGTTCACACGTACAGGTTCCTGTAACAAGCACATGTACAGTTATTAGCGTTATTCCACGATTTATTAGCAGTACATTGGGGGAACATGTAGAATTACTAGACAAAGGTATCCAAATGCTGGATCCCTGAAATTTGACATACAGCACTATTGCTGGACACGTTAGCATCCAATCACTCTGTAGATCCTTTGCAGATTTTCCTCCTGGGCAAAAATGTTGGGGTGCAGACAACCTTCAGTGGATTCCATGTTGGGGTGCATACAACATTCCAGTGGATTCATTTCCATTCAGAAGCTAGCGGCGGAGTCGAGAGAGAGGGTCGAGCAGCAGCGAGCAGAGCGGCGGTACCAGTCGTGGATTGAAGTTTTTGCACAGGGAGAGGAGAGGCGGGGAGCTGTGTTCTTTGGTGTGCGTGGTGTGAGTTGTAGTGAGGAGTAAGGCGATTTATGGCAGGGAGGATAAGAAAAGAATGCCGGGAGAAGGAACAGGGCGGAATCTGATGAGGAGGTGAAAGGAGACACCACCGAGGAGAAAACTTGAGCCTGAGGAGGTGGATTGCTTGACAGCGCCAAAGCCATGTCGTCGACCAACTATTTTGACCTTTTGGGCGACGATGAAAATGAAGAACTCACAGCTGTCATTGCTAGAGCCACTCAGCCTCCTCCTGCAGAGAAGCCCGCTACCAAGAAATTGCAGCTGACTCCTGCTGCAGCGCAGGCCACAGCCCGGCTTCCTTCGAAGCCGACTCCACCAGCTGAAGCGGTGAAGGAGCAGAAAGCCCTCAACGAAAGTGGACTTGGACGTGGAGAAGGCCGTGGAACTGGCCGAGGTCGCGGTGAGTATGGCGGTGATCGCGATGAAGTGTTTCAGCGCGAGAACCGTGGCTTCTCCTGGGATCGCGGAAACTACAATGACCGCGGCAACAACCGAGAGAACAGCGATGGCCATCAGGGAGGAAATCGCGTTGGTTATGTTGCTGGTGGAGGAGGCGGAGGCTTTGGTGGTGTCAATGAGAGGGCATCTCGTGGAGAGGACGGCAAAAACTGGTCTTCTAAAAGTAGCCGGGGCAGAGGCGGCGGCGGCGGCTGTGGCCGTGGAGGTCGTGATCGTGGCTATGGATCCTTGCACTTGAAGCAACATTAGATTTGAAAATTCATCAAATAGATTTCAAGACAACTTTCTTGAATGGAGATTTCGAGTAAGACATCTACATGAACCAACCTCAAGATTTTGAAGAGAATGGCATGGAGCATCTTTTGTGCAAGCTCAAGAAGTCGTTGAAGTAGCTCAAGCAATCACCAAGAGCATGGTACCTAAGCAAGGTATAGTCTCCTAGAACACATGGTACTAATTTAACTGAAAGATACACTCAGCTTCTTGATCTGAGGAGGAAGGTATAACCGTTCATCTTTCATTGGATCCGGTTGACCGGATTGACAGTCTTCTCGGTTCCTGTGAGGTAGGCAAAATACGTATTACATCTCTGGCAGAGTATTCTTTGAGCGACAGTATGCCTGCTTCCACCCGCCTCAAATATACAGATTCCAGGGGGGATGGAAGTCAAGATGTAGATGATTGGTTTGCCCAATTGGAATCCATATCTGTAGCAAACCAAGAGGACCTGGAATCCAAGAGGAGGGTATTCCAAGGTATGCTAAAAGGGGAAGCATTGAAGTAATACCAAGACATTTCGGAGAACATTCGGAAGGATTGGGAAGCTTTCATCCCCTTATTCCTCAAGTCTTTCCGACGTTGGAAGGAGAAGTTGGAGGAGAGGCCCGAGCCTTATGCTGACCATGAAGCCGTCACAGTCAGTACGAAAGTATGGGCAGAGGGTGAAGGAAATGATCCAAACGCTCACCCCGGAAATAGCCCCAAGTGTCTAGGTGAAATGGTAAGTTGCGGGATTTCCGGAGGAAATGGGATTTCATGTCCGGCAAAGGCGGCTAACAACTCTTCGAGATACTATGGAGGCGGCCCAAGACTATAAGAATTCAGCCCAATTCCTTCGGAAGGCTTTGAAGAAAAGTTCTTGTGCTCGCTTTGAAGAAAAGCGAACACAAGAACAAAAGCCGATCTCGGAAGGAGAGGAGACGAAGAAAATTCTCGGAGTCTGATGACTCTAGCACCAGTAGCAAATATGGTACTGGAGAACGAGCTCTTTTCATTCATAAATAAGACTGCACCGTATCAGTCAGAAAAGAGGATACTTTAACGTACAAATGTGGATCACTACAGCACTTTCATATGTTCATGTGAGAATACAATTTCAAAAACACTACGCAGGAGATCATGCACACGTGATACAAAGTAGGAAATACAAAGCACCATGCAGATCTAATTAACTCAGAAAGAATTGTTCCCCTCCATAAGTCGAATTACTGGACCTTTTTATCAGTTCTGCAAGCATATTACACATACACGTCATCACTTTGTTCTGCATCATTGGAAGTGAATCATTGCAAGTGTGATGCTTGGATTGAAAGAGCAGTACGTGCTTGTAAAACAACAGCTGCCCTAATACTATCATAAGGCATCAAAAGTATGGCTACTGTTTTTGCCGATCTGGTAGTACACTGTAAGAGAAGAACATAAATTTGTAATTAATGCATGTAAATGATCGGAAAACCATAGCTGAGGAGTTCTTCTTCGGACCATCAGGTGAGAACATGAGACCTTTCTGATTCAATGCTTTTATTCTGCATTTCAATGCAATGAGCAGTTTCACTGATGAATGGATTTCATCATAGTTAGTTATACAAGGGTTAGTTTGAACAAAAGATCTCATCAATTCGCATAGATGATTTGGTAGAGTCCGCAAAATACATAAATTATATCTTTCCTCTAGTAGATATTTATATCATTTGCGTTGAACGCAACATTGCAGAGAATGAATCTCCATTCATACAATGCCTTCATTGTACTAATAATCTTTCTCCCCAGACGCGTGTATCACTTCCCGACTCTAACAAAAACAACTGGAGTACATATTCTGAGCTGCTCCACGATCGCAGGCAAATCCACGACAAATTATACCTGCTTATTTTTACCCGAGCTTCTAGACACTGTTGATGTGTTTTACATTTTCAGGAGGACCAGAGAAACTACGAACATTGTACCGCGAGGAATTCATGTGAAACTCGTGGCTTCCAGAAATCCAATCTCGACAGTTTTTAATGTACACGTCAATTGCGGGGTGAAACTCAGGAGCGGCGGCAGATCTTAGCTTTTCATACGCAAATTCCATTTCAGCAATTCTGTCATGCAGAAGTTCGACTATAAGCTCTCCTGCTTGTGTGCAAGAATGGCAGTTGTATTGTTGGAACACGGTATACACTAAATTGTGCTTATCGCCTTCGCGGATCGTTTCCTGTATGAGAAACGACAATCGGAGAAAAGTAAGCTCGGAGTCGAGAGACTATTACGTGTTATTATCAGGCAATGGTTAAGTCAAAGAATGTTGTAGTTTAAAGTCGCCCGTCTTTGCAACCCTCCCATTGTCACAGTACAAGGAGAGGTCTCGAAATTTCCATGCCCTACATGACAATAATTTTAAAAGAAAATAATCAATATATTTTTAGAAAAATAAAATTTAAGAACAAATATTACTTACTTATATCGAGACAATCAATCAAAAGATGAATATTAATGTATATATCTTTTGATTGATTGTCTCATTATATAATTTAACAACGTAATAACTTCCTACACGTATCATATTCCTTATGATCAGCTAGAGTCGGTGTATCATTGAATGTATGTAAGCATATTTCAACATAAACATGTATTTGAGTGAAAAATACTCAAAAAGATATTTATGTCCGTGTGAATGTATGTTTGACAGAATCTTGTGATATCCAAATACACTTAAGTAATATCGTTGTGACGAAGAATTGAGGTACGAAATTCTTGTATAAATGTATGCTGTTTGATGTCTTACTCAGATCAGTCAGTCCGTACCCAAACCGTATTTCCAGCCAGCTTGTATTTCTGAAAAGTTTCACATTCAGGAGCACTACTGCGATGGCACCAGGTTTAGACTATGATTCTACCGTCTTGAGAATAAGATCTGACTTCACACAAGGGCGAGTTCAAAGGCAGCTGAAGAGCGAGCTGTACAGAAATGACAACCGCGTCAGTTTTGAGAACGATTTCAGAGCCCCATACATCCAGATTCCTTACCCCCAGGCCCAACTAAACCACAAGACTACCAAATGCATGGACATTTCTCTTGACTGGTTGAGTTCTATGGGCATAGATAAGGAGGTGGATCCAAGCGTGTGGTAAGCGTTTGTTGCGTCCAGACTTGCTGACATTGTGGGTTACTCGTGCAACGAGGATATAGAGCCTGAAGATTTCCTTTGGCTTTGCAAATTCACTAGATGGCTTTTTACTTTTGATTCCATGCTGGATGAGGGTCATTGGGCAGAGAAGATTTTCGTGTCCTGTCACGCATTTTAAGAAATAAATTGATTCGAATGTGGATCGACCCCGAGGGACTCCTTGAAGGCTCGAAATCCATTTTGGATGCGGTGATGGCAAACGATACTTCCAAATCACGTTTGTAGCTTGACAAATTTCATGCATATGTGGTGCATGCCAGGAACAAATCCAAATCACGTAATTTGGATTTGTTCCTAGCATACACCTTATCTGCATGAAATTTTCTTCTGTCTTCGGTTCACGTCAACTATTGATTTCTCTCTGCAATTGTATTGTCATGCTGGAACTGATAGCCACGATCAATGGTCAATGATATAAACCCGCTGAGAATAAGTCGCATGTTAGAGGAAAATAAACCGCCAAAATAGCTATATGCTGGAAATCCTATGGACAATCGGTAGGGAAGTAGAAATAACCCCTAGCTTTGAGAGCCGACTTTCGAGAGAATCCAATTCAGTATGAGGAGTCATAAATTAATGGTGCGCGGCAGGTTGATGTGAATTTCAAACCACCCACATGTTTTGACTGTACTGTGAAGCGAATAACAATTGCTCCAACTCTCGCAGTTCTCGATGTCAAGTTGGGAGTGCTCATGTCCGCATTCCGAGATTGTTGGCTGGAATATCGAAGATGTGCTTGCTGAGTATACGACTAGAGAGGTCGACACATTTCAACGGTACATTTCGTCATGTCTCTGGGAAGAAAAAAATCGAAAAGAGCAGGCAGAGTGTATGACTGGCTGATTACGTCACCCTTCGACGATTTTCTGGGTGTGTGGAGCCGTATTTTGTGTGTTACAAATAACAGTTCGGACCTTTTCTCTTCTTTCCTCCTTGTGTTAGGTTAAATTTCATCATTTCAGAAATGCTGAGTGCTTTCGTCTGCTGCAGGTGTACGTAGATCGGATCATTGAACATAAAAGGAGGAAATCTCCAATTTCACATATCCCGACACCTTGTTCTACGGAGAACATATGCAGAATACGCTTACGGCCGCTGTGGACGTCATATGTTGGCATAATGATATTTTCAGCTTCCCCAAGGTACGTTCAGTGCAGACCACTCCACGTCATATATGTCTACAGTATCACATTCACAGGTCCATACGGGTGACTTTAAACTAGAACGTTCTTTGACTTAACCATTGCTTGATAATAACACGTAATCTCTGGACTCCGAGCTTACTTTTCTCCGATTGTCGTTTCTTATACAGGAAACGTTCCGCGATGGCGATAAGCACAATTTAGTGTATACCGTGTTCCAACAATACAACTGCCATTCTTGCACACAAGCAGGAGAGCAAATAGTCGAACTTCTGCATGGCAGAATTGCTGAAATGGAACTTGCGTGCGTATGAAAAGCTAAGATCTGACGCCCTCCTGAGTTTCACCCCGCAATAGACCGGTACATGACAAACTGTCGAGATTGGATTTCTGGAAGCCACGAGTTTCACATGACATCCTCGCGGTACAATGTTCATAGTTTCTCTGGTCCTCCTGTAAATGTAAAACACATCAATAATGTCTGACTTAAAATTAACAGTGTCTAGAAGCTCGGGTAAAATTAAGCTCTTATAATTTGTCGTGGATTTGCCTGCGATCGTGGAGCAACGCAGAATGTGAACTACATCTGGTGTTGTTTTAGTCTGGAAGTGGAGAAAACTTATTTGTACAATAAAGGCATTGTATGAATGGAGAAATA